TATCCAGCCACCCCCCCCGCTGCCCACCCCGAGCCCCCCACTCACGTTGACGACCCTCTGGAAGTCCTCCAGCTCGTGCACTTTGTCCTTCTTGGCGTTGTAGGTCTTGACGGCGATGCCGACGCCGGCGCAGTTCACCGCCAGGTCCAGGCGCCCGAACTTCTCCTGGGCCAGGGCCAGCGCCGCCCCCACCTCCTCGGGAGATGTCACCTGGGGGCCACCGGGCTGGGGTCACCGTGCGGGGACACCACCCATGGGGTGGCGGCGCTGGGGTCACCGTGGGTGCCGCCTGCGGGGTCCAGGTGGTCCCCAATCGAGGGGGTGGCTGAGGTGGTCCTCAGGTCCTCAGCTGAGGCCACCTGGGGACACGGGGGCTGCGATGTCACCAGAGGGGTCAAGGTGGGTGACAGCGAGGGCAAGGTGACCCCCCGTTTGAGGTGGGGGGTCAAGGTGGCACCAGAGGGGACAAGGTGGGTGACAGCGAGGGCAAGGTGACCCCAACTCGTCAGCCAAGGTCAAGGTGACCTCCAGTTTGAGGTGGGGGCTGGACGGGTGTCACCAGAGGGGACAAAGTGGCATCAGAGGGGTCGAGGTGGGTGACAGCGAGGTCAAGGTGATCCCAACTCCTCAGCCAAGGTCAAGGTGACCCCCAGTTTGAGGTGGGGGTCAAGGTGGCACCAGAGGGGTCGAGGTGGCCCCCAGGTCCTCAGCTGAGGCCACCTGGGGACACGGGGGCTGTGTTGTCACCAGAGGGGACAAGGTGGGTGACAGCGAGGTCAAGGTGACCCTGACTCCTCAGCCAAGGTCAAGGTGACCCCCCGTTTGAGGTGGGGGCTGGACGGGTGTCACCAGAGGGGACAAGGTGGGTGACAGCGAGGTCAAGGTGACCCCAACTCCTCAGCCAAGGTCAAGGTGACCCCCGGTTTGATGTGGGGGTCAAGGTGGTCCCAACCTCCTTGGCCACATCAAGGTGGGATGGCACCTGAGAGGTCAAAGGTCAGCGGTGGGGTCACGGTGGCCCCGCTGTTGGGGGGGTGTCACCGGTGGGGGGGTCACGATGGCCTTGGTGTCCTGAGGGTGTCCCCATGGCCCCGGTGTGAGGGGGGTGTCACCAGCGGGGGGGTCACGATGGCCCCGGTGTCCCGGTGGTGTCCCCGCATCCCCGGTCTCCTGGGGGGTTTCCCCACGGTGTCCCAAGGGTGTCCCCGCATCCCCCGGTGTCCTGGGGGTGTCCCGGGGGTGTCCTCGTGGCCCCGATGTCCCAGGGATGTCCCCAGCGGGGGTGTCCCCATATCCCCGGTGTCCTGGGGGGTGTCCCCATATCCCC